TGTGATTTTACCACCTCATGAAACAGGGGATTCAGTTAAGATAAAGGATCCTCAAGTGGCTCTATGCAAAATACAGGCAACCCTGCCTGACCCTTGGCCTGAAAGAGGGAAGACTCATTGCTCAAGGCTCCACTTCTTTCCAGTGACCTCCCAACAACATTTCTGTCCTGAAATCATTTCTATCTCTTGCAATTTTGCGCTTTAGCTGCATTTGACATAAAATGCCAAGTGCTGTGACTAAGATTTACTCATGCTTGCAAACATTGCTTTTATTTGCATTGACTGAATCCCCTTGGGCTTCTCTTATTTTGTCTGTAACAAGACAAAGTATAGTCATAAATATTTGTGCCACTGAAAGGTATACCAAGAGGGAAAGTGCAGTGCGTGAGGCCCCAAACAGCCCCATCCACATTTTTCAATTATTTTTGGTTGCACCGTGTCTTGGGTCGAAAAGATAATTCGATCTTTTGCTCCTTGATTCCTGCCTAACAAGACTGCCAACAGGAGTGTGCCAGTGATGGTGATTTGCTTTAGCACGTGGACACTCATCCAATGGAAATGCTGTGAGATCACCAGCGCATTTTACATAAGCTACTGAACAGTCATCAGCGAGTAGGAAAAGGATGCTGCAACATGATCAGTAAATAAGTAGGTGAAGTTCTGTCTTGTCTGTAGAGATGTTCGAAGTGAAATCTGCTGCACAGCTTGCGGGTTTATATGAACAGTTTGTTAATTAGAGTTGTATAAAATGACAATTTTTCAAGAAAATTTCCGCCCTTCATAGCATCCCAGTGTGAAATTTGATATTTTTTTTAAACCCAACAAATGGGCTATTCTCATATTTTTAAAGAAGTTTGTACAGGCGGTCCAACACCATTGCTCAATGCTGCAAATTTTTCAGTACCACCTCAATGTTTTTTGCTGCATAGATATGCACTGGTTTTTGGCACCCTTCAGCTGCTTCACTCCTCTCTCCCCTGCCTATTTCTGTTGCCCACCAGGATAATGCAAAAAAGTATCAGAAGAGCTCACACAAGCTCGCTGTCATTTTATAAGCTGCAAGTAATGACATGCGTTAAATGAACGCAATAAAACCTAAAAATACTGAAGTGAGTTCATTCTTTCTGAAAGCTTGGGTGTTTGCTGCTGCAAGAAAAAGATCCTTTTCAGGCACACCCTTTGGGCTGTTCATGTGCAGAGTTTGCTGTGCAAATTAATTTTTTTTTTTTTAGAAATTCTTCTGGAGGATTTTAAAGAGAATATCTCTCTTTGTTGCCATCACCCAGATGAAACCAGGATGGTGCAAAAAAGCTGAGAATGAACAGGAGCCCCATAAAATTCTTCCACACAATTCCTTTTCCACTACTCTGCTAAGTGCAGCTTTTCCCTGTATGGGTAACCAGAGTAGAAGAGTCTCTTGATGAAGCATCTCTCTCCACAGGGTGAGCTGCCTAGGGTGGATGTGGGATGAGAGCTGCTTTTGACCTTTGGCCAGTCCCAGGATCAGGCCAGCCAGAGCAGCTAGTGGAGATAGAGCACACTGCTTTTACCCTCTGTGCAAACCCTCCCTCTAAGTCAGCTTGTCCCTCTGTTCAAATAATGGAAAGTAAAATATTTTCAATTCTTCATACTTCTCTTTTTTTTAAAAGTTTATAAAATGCTATTAAAAAATAGGTATCTTGAATGTGCTTTAAGCCCCGTGAATTTAAGAGCTGGGCTTTAATGGAAACTGGCCTGTGCTACCTACAAACATGGTAGTAAAGACAAAATCATCTGGGGGTGTGTGAACTCATGCACATTGATGTCTGTGCAATTGGTAGTGGTGACAAGGGTCAAAGTGAATATTTCTAATTAGCTAGTGCTCCCCTGTGCCAGGTGTTAACACATAGCCTTCTCAGCCTTGTTCTTTTTCTGTTTTAAGCATACAAACTAAACAGGGAGTTGCTCTGTATTCTGTGTTTATTTTATTTTATTTTATTTTATTTTATTTTATTTTATTTTATTTTATTTTATTTTATTTTATTTTATTTTATTTTATTTTATTTTATTTTATTTTATTTTATTTTATTTTATTTTATTTTATTTTATTTTATTTTATGTAAATAAAAGTAACCTACATTTGCTAGCTAGGTGGCAAACAGAGTGATTAAAGGGTCAGCTGTGCTCCTTGGGACAAGGCAGGGGAGATCCATGTAATTCAAGGAAACTTGAAAGGGGAAGAAGCAATGGCCTTTAGGGAAAAAAAAATAAGTCTCTTCAAGACAAAACTGAAGGCTGAGAATATCCCCAGGACTCTGCTACAATGCCTTCTCTTAAAGGAAAGACTGGTTCTCCATCTCTCTGGCCTTCAAAATTTCTTCTTTTTACAGTGAAATAAGGAAAGAATTCTGTACGACACATCAGGATTCTTGGAACAATGAGGGGCTGACAAATCCCCTTCATTGCCCTTTCCTGTTCCCACAGGTCACAGGGGCCAGTGAAGATGTCTGAGACAGCCAGTGGGATGGTGATGCTGGCTGGGACTACCTGTGCTGCTGGTTCCATCCACTGGAACCAGTAAGGCATTACCCAGCTCCTGCCACCATACAGCAGTGATGAACAAATGCAGCCCCTTGCCCTGCAACAAACATGGGACCTGCAGTAACCACCAAACATCCAGCAGCAGGCCAACACAGCAGGAGACAAGCAGTTCTAACTTCTGGGCTACAAGCAAATCTCCTGGATGGTTGCAGTAAGCAGAAAGTGTGACAGAAAGAGGCAAAAATCTCCCCATATTTCCCAGCCAACCTGCCTTGGAGAAATGAAGTTCCTTTGGATGCCCAGGAGTAAATTTTTTCAGCTCAGCTGTAGAGGAAGACAGCCTCAGAAATGCTTCCCAAGGACGCCTCTGTAAGCCCTGCTAAGGAAGGAGGGGTGAGCAGTGTAGCGATGGGATGGCCCATGCAGGGGACCGTGGAGCAGAGAAAGGATCATTGAAATCATCTTGTTTTCAGCAGAGTGAAGGCCATGGACCTGCTGTTGCAAACACCCAGAAATAAATAGCTCCCAACTTAAGGCATTTGCCATATGGGTAAAGACAATGCCTGGCAGGTGGCTGCTGACCACAGTGGCAGAGCTCACAGGCTGGGGCACAGGGTGTCCTCCAGATGCACAATTTGGAAATCCAAGGAATTTTTAAAGTAATGAATCACAGATTTCAGCCAGAGTTTTGCCTGAGAAGCTACAGGAGCTATTTCTTAATTAGAAATCTGTCCCTCTCACTGACTGCCAATTCAGTTACACAAGCCAGACACAGAAAACATTTCTTTCTTTTATGTCTCTCAGTTTTCTCCCCATTTCTTAATCCTGTGGAAGGAAGGGACAAACATATCAAACGGAACTGCTCTTTGGAACCTTCACATACAGCAAACTCCTCAAGGTCAAGGATTTTTTAAGGTTAAGCATGTTGTGACAGCTGCAGGACAGGATCAAAGTGGTCTGCAGCCTCGCTGGAATCGTCTCCCTCGTGGGTTCCCCCTACCAGAGGGAGAGATCCCCATCACGCGCATCCCCGTGGCACTGCTGGACTTCCAGCCTCCTTCTGCACCTACGGCCTTCCTCTCCATTAAATGCCTCTTTTCCCTCTGCCTCAGTTCCTTTTCCTAAATTAACACACTTGCTATTTTTTAATCTGTACCTTCCTTTGACGGGGAGCTGTCAGCTCTGCGCATTTCAATACCTCGGAGTGGCAGACTGAGTTTATGCAAACCTGTTTTCTGGCTCCCCACATGGCAGAGCCGCGTCTCTCCGGTGCCACACTGCTGTCTGTGGTGGAGATGAGTAATTCTGCCACGGCGCGGGGGGGCCACGGATGGGACCACAGGCGACACCTCCAGCACTGCGGGTCCAGGACGCTGGGATGCCGCGTATGGCTCCCAAGCTGTCGAGCAAGCTCTCACCCACACAGGGCTGTAGGTGATGACAGCGCCTGGTTCCTCGTGAGCAGCAACTTTGCAGGTTGGACCACGGTGCCAAGAGCTCCTGTCGGAGCAGCGGGGTCAGAGTTGAAACCCACGGGATCGAGTCTGGGATTGTCGCTTGTGCTGAGGAAGCGCCCAGGCAGACACAGACAGCTGCAGACCCTGGGCCAGCACAGCACACCAGCTATGTCCTACATACATTTTATTGTGGGAGCTATTTTGAGCAGTGTTAGACAGGGATGCAAAACCTGGGCTTGTTCTCTTATGCAGGAATTAACTCTATCCTGAGGTACTTGACAGCAGCAAGATTTGACTTTCATTACTGACCCAGCGCGCTTAATTCCAGAGGACATGACATACCCTAAAGTCCCACCATCTTCAATGGATACAGTGTGATCTTCTGGATGTGGCCAAGGATACAAACTGGTACTGTCCAGTGAGTAAATAATTAATCAAAAAAAGCAGTGAGTCATGAATTTGGCTTTCCAATATTATGTCATTAGTGAGGCACAGGCAAGGCAGAACACCTGTCACCCAAATCAGTACAGGTTACAATTTCCAATAGAAAAGCTATTGAGACTGGGTGCAGCCACAGGGCAGTTGTGGGGCGGCACTGGCAGCACAGTGTCTCCCTTTCTCCTGAGCAGGACAGACATGAAGAGAACAGACCTTCAGCAGAGCCCTTATTAAACCTGCCCGTGGTCAGTACAAACCCAGGGTTTTATTTTCCTCTGTGTCTCACAGCTTAAGGTACTCAGTGCAAACAAACTGGCATAGGATGATCTTCTCCTCATCTGCAGTGGTGGAATAAGGGATCGGGACCAGGGATTTCTCAGTCAGTACATCAGTGTGCGGACAATTTTTACTGTAACCATGGGGATTATTTACAGCCTGGACACCATGACCCTTATCTTTTTCTATTCATCTCTCTGCAGCTACATCCTCTACAAGAAAAAAATAACCTTGCTATATAAGACAGAACTCAAATCATCACGTGCAACATAATAAGGTTAAAATAATTTTGACCAAACATGGAATGACAAACAAAGTTCTGTTTATGGCAAGATAGATGTAAAGCCGTTGTAGTGGTGATTTAGAATTGATTCGATCTAAGTGCATCTCAAAAAATTGTGAAATAGAATCTACCAGCTAAAACTAATGAGCACAAAACTACATTGATTTGGCCCAGGGTGGACAAATAGAACATCTGGCATATTTGGCACCAATGACACAGCTGGCATTGTTGGACCCGTTTCTGCAGAAGGTACAGATGCAGAAATGGGAGAATTGGTACAAACAGTGCAGATGGAACAGTTGGAACAGATGACAGTGGGCAGAGCTGGCGATGCTGGCACAGGTGTCATAACCTCAACAGCTGGCACAAGTTGTGACAATCCTGGGATTTCTTAGTGCAAGGCACATGTTCATTTTGGCTTTGGCTGCAGAGAGATAAGAGCATTTTATAATTAGTAAATGTGCCATTTAAAAAAGAACTTTTTTTCCATCCTTAAGGACATCCACCTCCAACTGTTACAGCCTGGAATGTGGAGCATTTCTGCAAATTATAATTTCCCAGAGAAAACCACAATTGATAAATACAGATTTAATATAAGGTAATTAGACATTTTTATTCTCATATAGATAATAATCATGAATGGGATTTCTTCATAAGAGGTTTGTTAAAAAACATGGTCAGATCTGTAGCCTGATCATGGAGATTAAAACAAGCTTTGTCTGAAAGCCAAGGCTTGTTTACCACCAAATTGGTGGGCTATATTTTCCAAAAGTGCAATTCTTCACAATGAAACAGTTTGACAGAAGCCACTGGGAAGAGCAGGATGCTGGGTGAGTACTGTGGAAATAGTTAATTCTTTGGCTGAAATATGAGCCATACTTAGGGCAAGAATGAAAAAAATGGAGAACCCACAATATTGCCTATTCTTTAGCAATGCAGCTTAAATATTATTGAAAATACCACTGGTTTGAGTCTGATTTTCAGCTGAGAAAGCAAATACCTTGCTCTCCCTCGAGCCTCTGCTCTGCAAGTAGCTGTAACAAGGCAGTATCCTTTGATTCCCGTGAAAAGATAAGCAACAAGATGAAGTTGCTTGCCAAGAATTTAAAACAGAAATTAATTCCTTCTTTTATTTCGGCTGTTAAATGCTATGGAGAGCAGGCAGGGAGTAAATTTTGCTGAACTCTGGGCCTGATCCTGCAAAACCTTATTCATGGCTGTCTTCAATAGCAACACAAGCCTGCAGTGGAAGGGCTTGGAGGATTCAGATTCCCTTTTCAGAAGACTTACACCCCGCAGAGCTTACTTGTTGGATGTATTGCTGAATGCACTTTTTATCATGCTGCTTGCTCAAAACCAGTTTTCACCAACCTGATTTCACTGCACAAAGAGACCGTTGGTCGGTATTTTTAGTAAAGAGAATTTACAGGAAAGAGGATTTAAAAAAAAAAAAAAGGACAAGACCCAGGACAAACCAATAAAAATACTGAATTGAAAAATATTTAACAGCTTGAAAAACCTCAAATGAGTACGTACTGTCACGGCTGGAGAGGTTTTTAGTACTCAGCCATTTTGAGAAATTCTTTGTCCTCTGTTTAGTCATGTGCTCCCCTACCTTGTGCTATACAGTACAAAACCACTAGTTAGTCAGATACACTGAGTGACACACATGAGAACTACAATCTAAACCATCGTGAAACAAAAAAGGAATAGTTTGGAGCAGAGGAAGTTAAAGTTGTGTTGCTCAGCTCTACTCCCAGCTATACCACAAGGAACAGAGATATTGAAAGCAAGACCCAAATTTCCTGTACCCTTATTTCAAGCACAGACAGCTATTGGTCTAAGAAGACTGCTACAAAAGCCAGCCTATAAATGTTCATACAATCAGGAGTAGGTCCTTTTTATTGGCACAGCTGCAGTAAGTTTTCTTTTCGAAGTTGCCAGGCTGATAAGCTAACCCTAGCAGATTAAACCAGATCTGTTTCCTTCAAGCCAAGTAAATAGGAGTACCTCTCTTGGCTTCCTGGACGTGGCCATGCAGCCAGCACTACCACCAGCTCCCAATGGGGACCAGGAGCAACCCTGACAGCTGGTCACACAGTCATCCCTTCAAAGCTGTCAGCCACCACTGCCTTGGACCCAGGAATGGTGGACCTACAGCAGGAACCAACCAGAATGTTTGACATGAGGAAAGAGAGATGAAGATTTCACCTGGGCTGCTGCCTCACTGCTTGTTTGGCTTACCAAGAAGAAATAAACTTGGTTTCCTGTGTTTCGTGAGTGCTTTGCTCTCTGCCTTTTATTTAATAGCTGCCTGCACACCCAGTGCTTCATAACCTATGGATGTCTCATGAAAACATTCCTCTCTTGCTTCTGGCTGCAAACTTTTACGACGTGCTTTAATCCCCCCTTCAAACAGTTGCTGCACATGCTGGTTCACTGCTGTCCCTGGAGAACTACTGCCAGGCTGTGATATCCCAGCTGGAGTAGCAACTGGGGGGGGCAGCAGCTATTCCCCCCTCCGTACGCCAGCAGATGCACCCTGAAGAAAACTTCTATTCACCTTGGGATGAGCTTCCTGCTCTTAGCAAGACCTAGAGTAAAATGCAGCCATTTGTTAATAGAAAAATTATAATGATGGCTGTCTTTTTTTCCCTCTGCTCTGTATATGCAGTAGGTGTCCCTTTATGATACAGAAAATCCTTTTACTCTTGCAATAGGTGTGTCATTTTTATTTAGTCTTTACACATTCATGATTTGAGCCCACTGTGTTCTAAAGATACCAAATTTTACTCATAAAATTAACTTCTATGCACCATTTTTATTCCATTTAAACCTTCAAACTAAAGGTCACATGGGATTTAATTACTGTCTATGACAGATGCCACCTCTCTGCACAAAGACCATATTTCACCCAACTCCCCAGAAAATAAGCCTATTAAATCACAGTCAAGGTGCTGCTCAGTCATCACAGCTCAATGTTTTCTCTTGTCTCAACATTCCGTGATTGAAGATCAGCTCCCCAGCAACCATGAACCATTACATCTTCTCCAAAGTCAACACATCTCTGCTGATTACCTTATTGAGGATCTAGCCCAGTATATTATGGAGGCAACATCCCCATGAAATTGATTTTGGAAGCAGAAGTGCAATTTTTCTAATATGATTAAAGCACATGCTGTTGTGACAGCATTTACAGGTTGGAAATTGAGTTAGTAAATGGTCCTTTGTCTGCTTAGCATTAGCCTTGATGGTTGTTTCCTTCACCCAGTCTGGATGCTGCCCTCTGTGCCCGGCATGCTCTGCCAGTACCACGTTAAGCTGGTTGTCTGGGTACAGGATGAAGAAGTCTGCTTTACCACAGACTCCTTGTGTAACCTGGAGAAAGAGTTTTGTCTCCCTGTGGAAATGACTTGGGGAAACTTGCAGATTTCTGGGTCTGGCTGGGTATCCCAATTCACTTTGACAGGACACTAATACCCACTCCTCCTCTCGTCTTTGCTGCACCTCTGGAAAGCAGAAATCTGGGCACAGCCACAAGGAGCCATGGTGTGCCCTGGCCAAGTGGCAGTTGACCCTGCTTGCCTCAACAGCCAGGGAGACAGGCTTTCCAATTTATGAAAAAACCCTCTCATAGCTTTTATTAAACCACTGAAATAGCCCTGTGCCCCCACTGTCACCTTACCACTTCTAGCTCTTCCCCAGACCTTTTCTACACTAAGCCTAACCCCCAGAATAAAATGGAATACTCTGTTCATTTACCACCTGGAAAGTGCCCAGAGCCTGGGAGCCTCTGCAGTCACTGTGACAGTCACTGACTGATCATTTATGAACAGAGTAGTAGTAGTTTTCGCTGCAATTCCATACCTTACCTTCAATCGATTCCTATGTTGATGGAGTTAATCCAACTTTCTAAATGATTTTTTTAAACTGATTTCTCTTCACTGAAATTATGTGCACTCTTTCATACAGCAGTACCACTTCTTTGCTTTATCAGAAAGTTGCCCAAAGTTTGGGGTTTTTTCTGCAGTATTTTATGTAGATCTTAATTTCAAATCTGGACCATGTTCTTGCAGCCTCTGAGCCAAATTTCAGTTAGGTCAATGGAAGTCTCTCCTTAGGCTCTGAAACAGGACATTTTCAACACTACCTGCTCCCCATGTCATTTCCCCAGGTCTCAGCTAGGTGTTTCGGCTGCATACTGGGGATCTTCTTGGGAGTCTGGAAAGAGGAAAGTGACTCACTTCTCTTGATCCAAAATTAATGCAGATTGTTTGAACTTTTATCCAGAGGTGCTTCTGGATTCCTCTATGAAGAGTCTATGGAATTGTATAGTCAGGAATTAATAGCCTGTGCCCCAAAGCTCACTCGTTTTACCCACAGCGCAAGTGTGCTTTTGCAGAAAATTCCCAAATTCTGGAGGTCCCTTGCAGACTGTTTTCTTCAAGGGGGAATCAGAGAGGCAGGTCTGCCTCCTCTTTCCTTGCCCAGGTCTATTAGCAGAGCACCTGCACAAGTGAATAACCTACAGCAGGGAGTTGCAGCATCGGAGTTAGCACTACGCAAATGCCTGGGAAACAAATGCTGGTGCCTCTATACTGCGCAAATTTAATGCCATAATTTGCCTCAAAGTCTTCACTGGTGCTCTTTGCTGGGCAAAGTACTGTTTTTCTGCATGCTATCAGAATACAGCCCTAAGTGCTTTCCTGGACTAGGTCCCAATACCTGTACATTTGCCTTTGGAAGATAAAATAAGTAATGATATATAGGGCTGGGTGAGAGTCATCTCACTACATTGTCTGTTTTTTCTTGGCTACTGCAGGTTTTCTGATGCATTTGTGGCTGAGGGAGGACAAATGTCTCTGCAGGTTCTGTCTCTGGGATTTACTGAGCTTTGCACGCTTAAGAAGCATACAGTATCTTTTCCACACTAGAATGGACCTTCTTTTCCCAGCTAAATATGAAATTTCAGTACTGGATTGATCCATGTACCCAGAGGAACTGCATGTCCAGGCTCTTTAGAGGTTTAACTGTGTCTCTAGAGTAGCTGTAATCACTTTGGGAAAAATAACCTCATTTTCATCTCACCTTTGAATCATCTTTGTCTTAATCCTTCTTAAGCCTCTATGACTATCCTCCACTTTCATTCTAGGTGGCCCTTTTCATTTGTAGCCAAAGAATACAAACTTGTGAAGTTGCAAAGCCATCTACAGCACTCTCTCACTCTTTTCAGATACCAGGCACAGCTCTGTATTTGATCTCAGCTGCTGAGCCTGGGCAGGGTTTACACAGCCTCTCTTGCCCGGACTCTGAAGAAGAACCTTCTCCAATAAGAAAATGCTCTTGCTGTTATAAATGGCAATGCAGACCATGATAAAAACTGATGATGGTTGTTTTGTCTCACTGGGATATTGTTTTCTTCACTTTGTGGTACCCAGCGCACCAGGATTTTGGATGAAGAACAATTTATTGAGATTTCTGGCACTGGTATTGCTGAATTATGTTTGATTCAGCTCTTCAGCCACAAAATCTCAGTGCTGAGGCAAAACATCAGGCTTCACTGCCTTCCAGTAGGTTTCTCTATTCTTTGTTGTTTCATTGGCAATGCTTCTTTAAAAGCAGCTGTTGTTCAGTCAGTCTGAAATTATTAGAATCATCTCCTTTTTAGAATTTTTGTAGCCACCCTGCTGCAGAGTTGCTTCTAACTTACGTTTTCAACTGTTCATGCACTTTTAAGCAATTCAAGCTTAAAAGTGGGGTCCTGATTCCGGGTCAAATATTTCTGCAATGTGTGTTTCACAGTTACTATTAACAATACTAATTGCCATGCTGCTAAAGGGGAAATGAGTTCCACACTCTGACAGCATTAGAAAATGGTACAACTTGCTTCCTGTAGATGTGATGGTTTTGTAACCAGCATTGAATGATAGATTTTCTGGAAGGCAAAGTTTAAAAACATCAGTGGGCCACTGAGGTGATCTCAAATCTAACTGGAGAGTCTAGGAGGAAGCCTTCCCTGCTCTGGGAGAAAACAGCTGGAAATCACCACTGTTTTGAGGGAGAGGGAGGACAAGAGGGGTGGGGGGTTAAAGAAGGAGGAAACAGAAAGGAAGAGGAAAGTAAAAGTGAAAGGGGGAAACCAGAAGAAGCAGCTTGCTGACAAAAAATGTGATTTACACCAGTTTTTGCAGGTTTACCCTTTGAAGCCAATGAGACTGACCGATCAAGGAGACAGCTATCAACTTCACAGGACCATGATCCAGAAGCTGACAGCTTAAGAAACCAGAGGTTAAAGGGAAGCAAGCATTTGGATAAGAAGGAGAAGGAACAGCTGTCTCCTACGTGGGAGGCGATCAGCACATAAAAATGTTTGGTTAAGGAGCACGACACCCGCACCTGGCAGGGGCAGATCCTCCTAATCCCCGCCAGCAGCTGGCCGCCCGCATCGCCCCAGCCCCGGGCATGCCTTGCTACACTCAGGGCTTCCTTTTACTGCTGACCAGGAAATTTAAAAGGCATTTGTGACCCTTCCAGTGGGCCCAAGGAAAATTTTCCCCTGCAGTCTGAAGCCCTGTTCAGCTGAGTTTTTCCTACTAGTTTTCACTATGAACAGAGACAGTAGGGTTCGGTTCTGTCGTACCTTTTGATAATTATGTAAATAGACCATCTAATTCTGTCTTCTGTCATAGCCACCCACTATGTGTGCCAGTCATGGAGATACAATTTGTGGGACTGGAAGGACAAGGCTGCACTCATCATGCAAGTGTCTTGTTCTTCTGGTCATGCCTGTGGTGCATCAATTGCTTGCAGTGCAGGACATGCACTGTCTAGGCAGCAGACTTGGTTTACACCACCATAAGGCAGGACCCACTGAATTTGCATACAAAAATACATAATTACATGATTTTATATCTTCAAATACCTTACCAGTCAAAGTTCCTCCTATGTTTTTATACACTTAGACACTAGGAGGCAAGGATGGCACCAAAGAGGCACTTGGCATTAAATAACACTTGCACTCTCCTGTTGTCCCTGCCTGCTTTCACAGAACAGGAGCTTTCTTCCCAGCTTCTGCAGGTGATCACATCCACTGCTGTACCCTGGATCTCTGTTCAGCAAACCTGACAAAAACCTGTGTGCTGATCCCAGATTCTCATTGCAGTCTGTGTATATTCCACAGATGCACACACAGGATCTCCAGAGCCCTGACTGAGTTTATGTAATGTTTTCCTTCATCACATGTTGAAACCAAAAAAGATGTCTCCTGTGAGACATCTGCCCTCATGGAGGAAAATGTCAATGAGATTTCATAGAAAAAAGAAAGGTTTTTCTCTGAACCAGCTGAAATATGCAGAGAAGTCACACCCCAGGCATCAGAAAAAAAAAAAATAAAAAAAAATTAACAAACTAGTGTCTGCACAGTTTCTGTTACTTGTAATATATAAGAAGAAACATGATCAAACTTTAATCTTTTTTAGACCTCGTTGAACTTAGAGTGTAGTAAGTAGCTAGAGAAAAGCTCAGCAAGTCTGATATGGTTGTTACTAAACAAAAGCCAGTACAGAGGCCCCTGAATTGCTGAGGCAATTCAGTATCCACAACCAATGCTATCATGCTGGTAGGCAAGTTTTTATTAGGCTGTCACATCTACGTCAGTTCAGAAGTGGTGTCAGATATTGCCACAACAAATTCTCTTGTTATAAAAAATTGGGGGGCATATTTTTATAACATTAATATATAATACATAAAATGATTGGAATTCATACCAGTTGGCACTCGGTATAAGAGTCTTGTTTTGGCTGATATATACAGCATATTGGGAGAGGAGGAAATTTGCTTTCTCTGCAAACATGATGACTTTCCACAGATCAGAATTCTTCCCCTCCTGTTGAATATTGCGGGGGCTTTTCACAATTGAGCGGAACGAATTTAGGGCTGTAAGTAATTGAGAGTTGGCTGCTTGCATACAGGAAAAAAGGAAGACAAACAAAATGTCACAGTGATTATTTTTATCTCTGTAAAGTGTGTGAAATTAATTTATGAAAGCAACATTTTTGCCCTTTTGAAAGTATACGTACACAAGTTAGAAGTCTGGGTGGTTCTCTCCAGGCTACCAGGAAAGCAAAACATCTACTGTATATCTGCCCTTTAATCTAACAGATCTCTATTTGCAGATCTGGCTGAGCATCATGTTTCTGTATCTGTGCTTCTGCCAAGTGCAAAACCAGATTTGGTTCTTAGATATACTGGTTCAAAGCTGGAGGAATCTCACTGGCTTCAACACACATTGATGAAGAAGAAGAGGAGCAGAGAAGTGGGCATCCTCTACATTCCACCCCAGCCTTTTCTGTCAGTAGGGATGCCCCTGTCTACATAGATTTTCACTAATTAGGAATTACTTATTTTAGGTATTATTAGGTATTCTGTCTGTGGTTGGACAGATGGGAAGAAATGAGGCAATACTCACAGGAGCTGAACCTTGTCATCTTCAACTGGGGCTCATCCCTGGTAAAAGGCGGTTCACTTAGTCACACCACTTTGATAAAGCTGTGAAAGCAGAGCTGTTGCTCAATACTACATCAGCCCTGCATGTTACCAGTCATTGGGAAGCCATCTAAGCCAAGGTCAGTAGGAAGACCTGAAATCTAGGGGTCAAACAAAGTAAAGAAACCTAAGTGGAAGATAAGTCAGTCTATATGAGATCGATTTATGCAAAGGTAAACTGATATTTGTTATACAGGTAAACAAGTTCTATGAAAGCCAGTTTTCACAGCATGAAATCCAGAAAAGGACACAATGGACAACAGTGAGTAGGCAAGGAATCTGCTTACTGAGAATGCTGAGGTTCCTTCTATCTTTCTTGGAGACTGCCCCAAGATGCTGCTGTTTTAAATACTCCTTTGGAGATTTCCTTTAGAATAATGTAGATGTTTAAGGTCACCAGAAGCAGAACTGTTAGGAGAAAGATTTTAGTTTGGCTGTTTGAATGGCAGATTCTTTGACACAAGGAAAGGGAGGGAGAAGGGGTTACATTTTTAGGTGACACCCAAGAAGTTTGGCTCACAGAGAATACAAGATATGCTCCTCTTGGGAAGAAAAACTAAATTACAGTGCAGTATTATACCTCTCTTCTTCCTCTTTCCCCCATCCCATCTGCTCCTCAGCTTTGCTTGATTATTTCCTTTTCTCCTTAAAATTTCCCATAGTTACTCATTTTTCTCTAGACTTATATGGTCCTTCAACCTTCCCTTTACACTCAAAAAGATCTTTTTACTTAATTACACCTACCCTGCCCCTAATGCTGACATCTACTCCTTCACATCACTTATGAAGCAGTGCTCCAAACTCTGTAGAAATCCCATTGTACATTCTGATTAATTGGTACAGTTGGTGGTGGCTCTAATATTTTTTAGCTGATGGGGAATCTTAGCAGAAACTTGTAGGAGACAGTTATGTGTGTGTGTACATACATTACCAAAGGTTTAAGGGAGCAGTGCCATTAAAAACAAGAATGACATCGAGTATTCATTATCAGTGTAACACCATCAAGATAAGAATGTTTATTGTTGTATGGTGGAAAATAGAACAACTGGATGCTATTTTGTACAGGATCTTGTAGCTTTCTTCTGACTGCTGCTTTTCAGGCTCGCCCCATCACTGTGAGCTCAAGAATATCCAGGGAAACCTCCTCCACCGAGGGCCACTGCATAGGTACCTTGTGTCTCCTGTCACATAGTATGGCCTTTCCTGGTGTGCCCCCATGCTGGATTTGATTTTAGCAGGGCCAATATCCACACTTTGTGCATGAGGGAAATAAGGCTCAGAAAGGTTTCACTAAAGGCTGTGAAGTTCTGGTAGGGATAGGTCAGTTGCCTCCTGTGGTAAGAGCACAGATACTTCTCTGTTTAAAAAGTGGGGTAAGGAGCATAAATTGGTCCAAAAAGTAGCATCAGCTACAGGCAAGGGAAGGAAGTGGTTGTCACCAAGGTGCTAGGGAACAGCTTTAATACCTTGCTAGATCCATGAGCTTCAATTTCAAGCAGGTAGAAACTCAAGAGAGATGGGGATGGGATTGCAGTGGGGACAGATAAGAACTGCTAAACCTGAATAAGCTAGGTGGCAAAACCACATTGCTTACACAGTGACCTTCAGATCCCCTCTCTCCTTCCTGTTAGTGCTCTCTCCATGAACTGAGACCAATTCACTGACCACACTCTTATTCCAAGTGATTCAGGGTACCAGAAAACAGCACACCAGGAGGTCAGCATTACCATTTATTCATTCCTATGTCAGAATGCTTTCTTTCCCTTAATATTTTAAGAAGACATGAGGGCAGCTTTACAAGAGTACTGTTCATCTTTTAGGGGCTGCTGTTTGGAGAATTGTTCCTGTACCAGCTTTGCAACTGATCTGCACCCCGAGTTTGGTTACATTTTCTAAACCTTTTCCATACTCATTCCACCACCAGTAAAGCCAGATCACCAATACTGGGCCATCTGCTCTATCTATAGGCACAAGGTGCAGTAAACGCATGAAGACTATAACATAAATCCAAGTCCTCATGTGAAAGCTCTGTAAATATTAATTATTACTGTCTTAAAAGATTAACCAAAGAAATGTAGTCCAAATGCTAACAGGGACAAATCTGTCAAGGTGTGGAGATTATGTGAAGTTTCCTGAGAATTTTAAATATGCCTAAAATGTGGAGCTTCAGTTTGCTGTCTTAATTAACAAAACTATTGAGCAGTAACATGCAGGAAGGCCTTGCCAGGAGCAACCAACAATTATGGAAGGGCATGTTACTTCAGGGAACCAGATGAGGAAACTGGGTACTCTGGAAGCACTCCTGCTTGTCATGGTGTTTGATCAAAGCAGGTTGTAAATGTTCTCCTTCATCAAATGATAGCTTCAACAGAAAGTAACCAACACAGCAGGAGAGACAACCAGTATATATTTCTCTTTTAGCTGTGTCTTATATATATATATATATATATA